CAATCAACATTCATACTCTACCGAACCTTTCATATATCCTCCCTTTACATATATATATATATATATATATATATATATATATATATATATATATATATATATATATATATATATCATACATACAAATGTATACATGAATGTGTGTATGTATATCCATATATGTATATATCTATATATGTATACAATTGTATATATATGTATACAATTCTATATATATATATATATATATATATATATGTGTGTGTGTGTGTGTGTGTGTGTGTGTGTGTGTGTGTGTGTGTGTGTGTGTGTGTGTGTGTGTGTGTGGTGTGTGTGTGTGTGTGTAGAAATACACACACACACACACACACACACACACACACACACACACACACACACACACACACACACACACATACACACACACATACACACGCACACAGACACACACACACACGGACGAGGCGAGAAGTGCAGTGCATCAGCGCAGTACAGCTCTTACATGTTGTTAAATACGGAGAGGTTTGAGCAATAGGTGGTCTAGTCTGCTAGCCATGGGTGTATGTAAATGTGTATAGTTTATGTTGAAAGGCGAATTTGGGTTAGAAATTGAAGGAGAAAGTGAAAAAAGCAGAAAAAGATAGTGTGGCTCGTAAGCCGGGGACGTGAGAGAGGAGAGGGAAGCGAGAAGTGACCGCGAATCCTGTTTGGTAGGCGTTTCGCGCCTAGAGACAACTGACGTGAGTACATCTCTGGTTTTTGTTTGTTTAATGAGGAACAACTGAGATCAGACGAGAAAAATGAAGTTAGCAGAAGCAGCAGTCAGAATTGAGGCTCTTGAAGCCAAGGTTGACAACCTGGTAGCAGAATGCCTCAAAATACGGGAAGAGAATGTGAATCTGAAGGAATTGGTAGAAAACCTGCGTAGAAATACAACTAATTCAGAGAGAAAATATGGAAAAATCTGACATGAAAATTAAAGAACTAAAGCAAAAGTTAGAAGAAGCTGAAACCAAAATTGGCAACGGTAGTGAAACCGAAGCAAAAAATCTACAGGAAAAAGTTGAGGAGGTAATTAAAGTTCAAGAAACTGTCAAACAGATTGAAAGTAATTTGTCAAACAGCCAAGCTCAAATAATGGAAGAAGCCAAGAAGATGACAGCTAAATATGCAGATGTATCAAAGGTAAAGGAAACCGTGAATGAAATGGAAAAAAAGATAGAAAAAGACATCAAGACCACAAAAGAGGAAATTAAAACACACCTTGCAGCAACGATAAAGAAGAACGAATTCAAATCCCACCTTGGGCAACATGCAAGAAATATTGCAAATTTGGTGACGTAAACAAGGACATAGTCATATTGGGACACGAAGAAAGAGTTGTAGAAGATAGAATTGAACGATACAACGAAGACAAGAAATGAATTGTAGACATTCTCAAGGTCATAAATCCCGAATTTGCCGAGCAGAATATCATAGCTTACAGGAGGCTGGGATTATTCGAAAAGGGAAAGAAACGGCCTCTAAATGTAACATTCTTGAATAAGCAAATAGTAACTGATGTAATAAAGAAAGCCAAAGTTCTAGCCACCCATGAGGAATATAAAAAAATCTGGATAAGAGAAAACATGACCAAAGATGACAGAGTAAAACTACAAAAGAAATTGGAAGAAATAAAAAAACAATAATGAACAAAGGAGTGAAGAGGAAAAAAACTTATTTATTTGGAGGGTGAGAGGTCTCCAAGCAAAGCAAATATACTATTGGAACCAAAATGTAGAGGCAGACAAACATTAACCCTGCAACCAAATTTAATACCCAAAGATTATATAGTAATAGTTTATACAAATGTTGATGGTTTATCTTCGAAGTTGCTTGACCTAGAGACAATAATTGATATGGATAAACCGGATGTAATATGCATCACTGAAACCAAACTGGACCCCTCCATAGACGATGTAACATTAGGGCTCAAAGACTATAATATTTGGAAAAAAGATAGGGCAAATGGAAATGGAGGGGGGTAGCAATATTAACAAAAAAAGGAATTATCATAACGGAGTTTGAAATTAATCAGGACCCCATAGTGGAATTTAAGGTAATTGAGGTAGAAATAAATGGGGTAAACATAATAATAACCACGGTATACATGCCACCTCAAACATCGGCGTGGTCACTAGAAAATTACCAGAAATTAATTCAAGAGACAATAAAGAGCCTGGAAGAAGTGCTACAACTTGCGGAAACCAATTCAACAGAAATTCTTATAACGGGATTTTAATAGCAAAATCGACTGGGAAAGTTTCTATCCTAGAGCACAATCAGATTCATGGAATGCTAAATTACTAGATGTCATAAATGAGCATTGCCTTTTCCAGAATGTAACAGATCATACCAGGATAAGAGGGCTAGATATGCCGTCTATGCTTGACCTAATATTTACAAAGCATAACGACGATATTAAGGATATCGAGTACTGTCCTCCTTTAGGAAAAAGCAACCATATAGTGATAAAACTAAAATATTGTCTGCTACAGGAAAAACTCATCGTAAGCAAGGAAAGAAAGGAAAAGTACAATTACAAAAGAGATGTTTATAGAAGCCTCAAAGATTTCTTTGATAACATAAACTGGGAAACACTTCTGGATGATGAGAACCTTGTTGTTTAGTATTCAAAATTTTGTGAGATCTATAAAAAAGGAGTGGAAAAATTCATATCCAAATTCAAAATTGAAGCAAGAAATGGCCAAAAACGGTTCAACGACAAATGCAAGAAAATTAGGGAAAAAAGCATCTCCTTTGGAAAAGATTCAGAAGGCATAGATCTCAAGCAGCATATGAAAGATATAAAGTAGGAAGAAATGAGTATACCTAAACCACGAGAGAGGCGAAATTAGACTTTGAAAGGATATAATCGACAAATGTACAAGTCAACCAAAACTCTTCTTTAACTACATAAATAGTAAAACA